TGGGATTGTTCAGCCTGGAGAAGAGAAGGCTCCAGAGAAACCTTCTAGCAGCCTTCCAGTACCTAAAGGGGGCCTACAAGAAAGCTGGAGAGGGATTTGTATTTAACAAGGGCATGTACTGGTAGGACAGGGGGTAGTGGTTTTAAACTGAAAGAGGGGAGATTTTGATTAGTTCTAAGGAAGAAATTTTTCTCTCTGAGGGTGGTGAGGCAGTGGAACAGGTTGCCCAGAGAAGTTGTGGATGCCCCATCCTTGGAAGTGTTCAAGGCCAGGTTGTATGATGCTTTGAGCAACAAGGTCTGATGAGAGGTGTCCCTGCCCATGGCAGAAGGGTTGGAACTAGATGATCTTTAAGGTCCCTTCCAACCCAAACCATTCTATGAATCTATGATCTTTTGAGAGTTAAAAGGATTATTACCTTTTACGCTGTGTGCCTTTTGAATGTGATCTTCTCACAAACTGTGTAAATGAGCTAAACTTTCACCGGTGTAGTTTTCTTGCATGCTGTGTTGCTGCATCTTGTATTTTGCACTTGGAGGGTTTTGAACAGGCTTTCATCAAAATGCAGCTATGCCTTCATATGGTTTTCAAACTCCTATAACCCAGTGTCTCACCACTGTGTCCAGTTGGATGATGCTAGAAGCCACAGAGGAGGATGAGAAATCAACAATGATGTTCAGAGGGATAGCTGCCATTAAGTAACAGATTGCTGAAGGTGGGCAATGTTGAGAGTTTTCAAATACCTGAATTTGAGACAGTGTCCATTAATGTAGACGATGAGATAGGGCCTTTTCGTCCAGCAACCGTTCTTTCTGGGAAGTGATACATTTTAGAAAAGCAATTTAGAGTATATATCTCTAATATTGATAATAAAATTGCATAGAACTGCAAAAAAAGCCAACCTTCCACATGGTAAAAGAAAATAAATTCATTCTGTCATTGAAGAAGAGCATGGATGCAAAGTTGATTTGTATGCTCCTTGGTTTTATTCATTTCTCGTTTGTATTAATGAAAGATACTTAGAATTTGTAGGCTTTGAGAGTTGTTGGAGGTTCACAAAAGCAAAAATGCATCATCTGTGCTGCCACAGATTGCTGAAAAAAGTTTTGCCTGATTCTGAATGCAGTGGTTTATGAACTCCTAAGATAATTGTCTCAGTCAATATTATAAGCATTCTTTCATTATTGCAGTAGTTAATTGCTATGGTTTTTGGTAATCACAAGTTTAAAAAAAGTAAATGGATAGCTGAAAAAATAATGCTCTTGTTCAAAACCATGATTCCCCTAGCACTATTATGACGTATTAATGAGACTGTAAGGAAAATATGCTGTTAATATCCATGCTGCTTTAGAAAAAAGTAAGAAGGTGGCAGAGGGAGAAGTGGAAGAAAATACAGAGCTAAGTAATAGTATTGAGTCTCATTCCCATCTGGAAATGTTTGTGTTCAGACTTTTTTAATCCCACCTGTTCTCTGCCAGATGTGGATTTTAGTTTTGAAACGGCTTTTAAGAGCCATTATTTGTTATTCATGTTTATAGAATAGGCTGTTTCAGCTGGAAGGAACCTGCAACAATCACCTAGTCCAACTGCCTGACTGCTTCAGGGCCGACCAAGTTAAAGCATGTTATTAAAAGCATTGTCCAAATGCCTCATAAACAGACAGGCTTGGGACATTGACCACCTCTTTAGGAAGCCTGTTCCAGTGTTTGACTGCCCTCTCGGTAAATAAATGCTTTCTAATGTCCAGTCTAACCCTCCTCTGGTGCAGCTTTGAACCATTCCCACATGTCCTGTCACTGGGTACCAAGGAGAAGAGATCAACACCTCCCTTTCCCCTTCCCCTCCTCTGGAAGTTGTAGACAGCAAATTCTCTAAATTAGACAAACCTAAAGTCGTCAGCTGCCCCTCAGAGGACATGCCTTCCAGCCCTTTCACCAGCTTAGTTGCCCTCCTCTGGACTCATTCAAGGACCTTCACATGTTTCTGAAATTGTGGGGCCCAGAACTGCACATGGTACTCAAGGTGAGGCCACACCAACACTGAATACAGCAGGATAATGGTTTCTTCTATTTTATATGACTATCTTGATGCAGGTTACTGGTTTCATGCATTTTATATTTATTGCTTGAATATTGTCTAGCAAGACTATTTTTTCTTTTTCATACCCTCTTAGAAGTAATTCAAAATGTTCTAGTACAGAACAGTGGTAGCCCTGAACTATCTTCTCAGTGTAGCTTGATATTTTTCTTCTTTGAATTGTATGAATATTTCAGTTGATGTCATGTAAATGTGGCAGTGAAAATGCTCAAAGAGCGTTCACTCTGCCAGTAAATGGCACTTAAACAAACGGCATGCTCTCCCTTGTCTACTTTATTTTGCATTTTCTTATTTTTTTTAAACAGATTTTGCAAGAATGTCCAGAGCAGCCTGAAGCTTTCTATGAAATGGAGCAATTTGATGAAATTGAAGCAGTTGGGAAATCGCTGTTGGACAGACTAACAGTGCCTGTAGTTTATCCTGATGGGTATGCAAAATGTTTTTCTAATGCCTACTGAATATGCTTTTGGTAAAGTTTCACAATAGTCTTGTATGCAGAAGAATCCTGAATGCTCATTGCTGCAATTAAAAAGCTAGCGCGCTAATACTCATTAAAAATTCTTTCCCATCTTTTCACAGAAAGCAGGCAGGTCCAATTTCAAACTTTCCAAAGACAATGTGCCTGCTTTTCCAAGTAGTGATTTTTTCCACACTTAGTAATTGTTAGATTTGTGCAGTCTTTACACCAGCGAAGTATGTAAGAGTAACAGAAGAATGACCAGTCCCAATCTCTTCTCCCTGAAAAAAGATATCAGATTTGAATTTTGGTATTTTGACATTTATTCACAATTCTATCTCAAGTCTTAGGCCAGTACATTGAAGATAAATTTACATTTGATTTATTCAGCAAATAAAACAGTACTTCCCTTGTGAGCTATTCGTACTAATTTAAAATTGGTGGCTGTTTTGAGCTACAAAAGCAAATTGAATTTGGAATCTCAGCTATAATAAAACTCAGTTCTCTGTGTTCAGTAAAATACACTCATCCATTGTAATGCTGAGCTCATACTTTATTTATTCTACCTTAATATAACCAAATTTGGAAATAGTCTCTGAGTGTGTAGGATCCTGCATCATAGTGAACAAGATCTGAAATCAATATTTTGAATGAGAGGCTGAAAGCTTATGAGGTCCTATCAGGCAGCTGCATTATAGGTTACCTGAAGTAGATCTGAAAAATACAGTTACAGGAAGCTGGTCATAAAAACTAATTTCCTGTCACCTTATTTCTGAAGTATCATGCGCCCTATGCAGTATAATTCCCTTCAGTAAGGAGTGCTACCCATGGAAATGGACCCAGGCCTGAACTAGTAGTGATTTTTACTGCCCTTTTCAGTAGTGCATGTGAAGATGGTGGAGGATTTTATAGCTCAGAGGGGTTGTCAGGAAGTTTGTTATGTTTGTTGAAGTATTTTGATATCACTTTCGTATAGCAGATTTTAGTGACCAGGTAAAAGTAGCAACTGTTATGTATTCTTAAAACAAACATTAGAACCTGGGAACGCTCCCCATGAAAGACACTTGCCACATTTTGAGGTTTGAGTCCTAACATGATGCTCCTTCTTGAACGTTATTTCTGACCCCTCTGGCATTTCAGCACTGAGTTCTGCATGTGCCCCTTATCAAAAGTGGAATCTTAGCTGTCCCAAATCCTAGGATCCCCTGCTTATCGTCCCTAGGTATTCTGTTTTTGAAGCTTTTAACAAACAATTTGCAAAGAGTTTACTCATTAGTGGAGTAGTTTAAGAAATGTAGGAACATACAAAATGTCATAAAAAGCTTGGAGGCATCTTCATCAGCCTCCGACCACTTCAGACTTTTGTCAGTATCTGCTTGGGAAGTCCAGGTCACTGTTCCCTGTCCCGCTGATGGCTTCTAATCTGCATCAGGAAAAACATCTGCCCATACTCTAATCCTGCGTGCAGTTGTGCAGTCTGCTGTGTTTGGAATTCTCTAGTCAAACTAGTCTGCTCCTGCATGAAATAACTTTTCTGTCTGCTTATGCCTGTCCCCCTACTCTGTCCAAAGTCCTTTGTCCTACCACCATTTCCAAAGTCTTCAACATCTGTGCTTTGAAACTAGGTTTGATACCTGTTCTTCTTCTGAAACATGTATTCTGTTCAAATCCTCCTATGGCTCACGGCTTGGTTAGTGATCTTCCCAACATTTCAGCTGTTCTTTTGTGGTATTTGAATGAGAGAAATCAACTTACACAGCTATGTGTTCTTTTCAGTTTGAGATAGATGACAATTTGACAGCATGCGGCTGACTTCATGTTCAGAGTCCTTCAATAATACAGCAATTGTATAACCTCAGAATTTGTGTATAGACGGATTTTCTTGACTGTCATAGTACTCGGAACTGCCAGACTGACTTGGGGGAGTAGTGAGAGAACAGCAGTAAAAAAGTGTTAGGAAGTATCTGTTTGTGCTTATACATCCTGCTGTTGAGAGACTCTCTTGGGTATAAAAGGGTCGTTTAGTATTTGTAATAATTTCATCAAGATGTGCTGTCAAGTCTCATCACTGAGTCTCCAAAGCCTTTTAAAGGTGGCTTTTAAATTTCAAGAGGAAAAAGTGCCAATTTTTCTTATCTGCTTTGTGTTTTCTAGTGTCATTCACATGTATTTTCATGCAATGTCTTACTTTTCACTGATAACTTTTTTGTTTTTTCTTTCTTTTAGGTCTGAGCAGTACTTTGGGAGCCCAAGTGATATGGCTTCTGCAGCAGAACACATTAGAGAGAAGATGAAGCTAGTTAGCCTGAAAAAGCAGCAGCTGAGACAACCAGATGCCACTAGCCCAGAGAGCTAATACTGACCCTTGTCTATGAATTCATAATAGGACTTCAGTTTATAATCCAGCATGTTGTTTGCATATTACAGATTCAGCATAATATATTAAAATGCATTTCACAGCCGTTATAAATCTCATCTTTTTTCCAAGTAAATGTTCTCAGCATCTTAACACTGTACATCTATCAAGCCATAATTATTTAACATGCTATGAAACCATAGATTCAAAGTATCTTATGAAAAAGAACTGTAAACTTTGCACTGAAATTTGCTGTAAAGCTTTACCTGACCTGTCAGCTGCTTCTTAGTTAAACAGCTGATGCACGCTTTGAATGGTGCTAATGAAAGTGTTAGGAGTTCCATATTATGAAATTGTAGTTCTTTGCTTCCCCCTATGCCCAGGTGATGTAGTAATTTTAGACTGTAGGTAAAGTTCCTGCAGTGTAGACAGTGGTGACCCTATAATTTTAATTTGAAATACTTTGGAAAAAAAAAAAAAACCAAAAAAAGAAAAGATCCTTTTTATTGTGCCAGTATGCAACCTGCCCATCAAATCTTTGATATATCAAATTCATTAAACAGATGTTTTCCTATTTGTATTGATAATGTATTAAAAGCTGTTTGTGCTTAATAAAAATCATCTTTTTAAAATCTAATATACATTTGTTCTGGTCTGTATTTCCAAATGTCAGTTGTGTTCTTTTTTTGTGATAAAGGGTAGTAAAAATCATCACTCCCTCAACATATTACAAAATCCGTATAATCTTTCTTGCAAAATACTCTTTAACGTACTGTAGCTATACAAGGAACTGCTCTTGAACTATGATTAATTGGAGCAAGAGTCTTGTTATTTTTTTTTCTTCCTTTCTGATAGTAGCACTTACACAAATGTGAGATAGTATGTGCATAAGTCAGTGTTATTAATAATAGTTTTGTTCCCATGTAAGACTGGTACACATCTCTTGTGCTTTATTTCCAAGTCTCATTTCCCTTTGAATGGAGAGTCTTAAATAACGTGAATATCCCTGGTACTACCTTTGAGGTTAAAGCTTTTCATCTAATGAAAAATTATTAACATGAAGTTAATGAACAACTTAAAACTATGAGATTAGTAATAAAATTAAATTTATCAAGAGAAGGGAATTAGACTGATAAAAAATCAGCTGTGTGCATCATTTGGTTAACTTCTTACTCTTCAGGATTTAATCTGAATGAATTCAATATTATGTGTACTGGAAGATGGTGTGGTATCTGACAATTTTAGAATACTATGTGTGAAACAAACAACTGTAGGTCTAATTACCATATGTTATTTCACTATATTTTGCTCACAGTAAAGATAATGCTCTCTTCCTGCAGGCATTATTATTACTCTGCAGGTCTTCTTGATGGGTCTGTCATTCAAATACTATATTTACTTACTTGTCTCAGTTTTTCCACATTTTCTCCACAGGAAAGTGATGTGTCAAATAAAACAATTCTTCTATAAAAAGTAATAATTCAAAATTAATGGCTTCTCCCTAACTTCAGTGATAAAGATTGTTTTGGGGTTTTTTCCTCTCAGGGTATTTTGGCAGAGAAAATCTAATTATTTTTTGATGCATTTGACACAATGGTACAATCTTACATCAATACTAGTTTAAAACCAACTGAAGTTTCACAGACCTTATTCATAAAGAAAGTTTTTCAATATAATCTTTAAAATTTAATTTAGTTGTTCAGTTCTGCTTGAGAAAGCTGCTGTTACTATGGCTAATATTTGGATGAGAGAGGTTTATTTAGAAAGAACCCAAACATGAAAAATCTACATATATTTAATACAAAGCATAAATACAAAAGTAAATTTAGGTTATAGTCATTAATAAGCACTGCGTCTCCAATTCTGCAGCATTTGTAAATTGAATCTACTTACAGTAAATAATGGTCTGCAGTATAAAATCTCATTAAAATTAGTTTACAGTAAGCATGTGTTAAAGGCTGAAACCGTTGGCAGGTTTTTATTTTAATTTTTATTCTGTTTTTATTCTGTTTAGGGGCTCAATAATGTATGTAAAGCAAGAGCAGTATCAGAAGCTCCTAACTTTTTCATGCGACAGCTGTGTGCACAACTTGGATCCGATGACTGTTCACCCTAATAACCCCGCCGTTAATTTTGGCTCCATGTATGAAGTCCAATCTTGAGGCTGTTCTTATCTGTCGTCCAGCATTCCTAGAGGCCAGTGGATTCTGACTTACATCCTATTGTCTCAGATCGAGTCTCTGATATAACCCCTCGGGCTATGCCAGCTTTTCCTGTCTCTCTGCTCTCTTCCCCTTCCTCTCTGGAATTCCTTGCCTGTAGAGGAATCAAGTGGCTCATAAGGTGCTATTTACCAGCACTTTGCAATTTGCCCATTTCCTATGTATCAGGAATTGATGGCAGTAGTTGTCTAGGTCATGTTGCACGGGTCTGCCAGATATTTCTGAATCCTCCCTATGAACTCGGTGACTTCCTGTCTTACTGAAAGAATGGAATAAACACTGTCTGTTAAGAATACTGTTGAATGTAAGTAAATGAGAGAGATTTTTTGTCAATCTACCATCTCTGGTTGTACTTCCTACTGAACCTTTAGAAATGTACAACTCTCAACAGCGCACAGTCAATGAGATACAGAGACATGCTAAAAGGCAAAACTGCTGAAGTAATCTGTTTTTAATTGTCTGTGCAGGTGCAACTGCAAGTGGTAGTGGTGGCTCTGGCTTTTGCTCTGCACTTTTCGTTAGCAAAAACAATTCAAACAAAGTTCCAAAAGGTGCTTTTTTTTCCAAATTATTTAACATAAATCACCTCCAGTGAGGGATACAGTGCTATGTATATATGTAAGATGGGGAAATACCAATAGAATAGGGAAGGATTGATTGTAAGATTTGTAGTTGTTATACTCCTAAGTATATTATGACTAATGACTTGGAAGTGATGGAGCCAACCTCCTTCCATGGTAATGAAATCAATAACTAAAATTTCTAAGTTCCTGTTAGCCAAGTTTGGATGTATTTAAAATGTTTCAGAATACAGTAAGTGTCTTATTACTCTTTCCGGTAATGCAAACCTGAATTGCGTGTTTTGTGACAGTGAACAGTGAGCAGCATTGGAAAGGTGAACAACTCAGTAGGTGTCATCCATTTTTAGTAGGGCATCAGTTGGATAGACTGGCAGTTGTATAAAATGTCTATACCTATAAGCTCTTTTTAATTGTGAAAAGGTGTGTGGGCATTTGTTTTAGTTTCTATAAAAATATTTTATTCTGTTTACTGCTTAACTTTTTATTGTGATTAAGTAGGACTAATGGGATTAACTTTTCCTTGGAAAAAAACAGGTTTGGACCGTGGAGACTTCTACAACTTGCGTGACTGAGAGTTCAAATACAGTTACTCCGGAGGTACAGAGGTGAATGGAGAAGGGTTGTATGTGCAGTAGGATTGTATAGCACTTCTTATACCATCATGCTAGCCTAAGAATTTCAGTACCAGCTGACAAAAAGATAAGAGCAAGATTTTTTTCCATCTCAGTAAGAAAAAAAAATTAAAATCAGCAGGTCATGATCACAAGGACAGGTTGTCATGGGCTTTCAACAACAATAACAACATGTAACAATGTTATGTTAACCTCCAATTTCCTGATTTCTTTCTACAGGATAATTTTAATCTGTGTAAAGACATTATTGAGAAGGAGGAAGAAAGGAAGCTTTTGGAGCTACAGATGAAATTATGTGGGCTCTGGAGCTAAAATGCTGAGAAATGGGGATGAAGGCAAAGATTTGGTGATTCCCAACTTCTGAAGTCTATCCCTCATATCTCTTCAGACTCTTCCACCAGCAAAAAGGGTAAAAATGCTTAGTTATGTTAGATTTCCATTCTAGTTTAAAGAAAATAATCAGAAGGTTGGTCTAAGCCTACAGGATATCAATCCATACATACATAAGAGCTGCACAAGGGCCTGAATGTGAACTGTAGGGCCACAAACTGTTTTAGTATCTGGAGTTTACATAACATCATTCCAACAAGGTAATTAATTCATGATCTCTTTGGAGAGATATGTTGTCTTTTTCAGGTTTGTGGAAAGGCGATATACTCTGAAATAAGATACAAAGGCAAATAGTCAAGCAATTATGTTACTTCTAGTTCCAGTTTGCACAGTCATTTTGAATCTCGGTAGACTGAGTCTTTTCTGTAGTGTGTCATTTCCACTGTTCCCTGATACGTAACAACCAAAGTACAGGCTATTGCAGAGTTAATTCTGGTGACTTGAAATTCAATGTTAGAAGAGTACATTGGGTTATCGTCTTAAAATACTGATTCCCACAATCGTCCGACTTCTGTTTTCTTAGCTTAAATAGTTCCATCATTATAGTACTGATGCCTGTCAAGACTGTATCTTAGTTGAAACTTCTATTAAAAATTGACTAATTGCATGCCTTTTGCAAGGATATGGAGTCAAGGAGTTCTTCAAGATGTTTTTCATCTGATGCTCAGTGGAAGTAGTTTTGTTGTGGAGATTTACTGTGTGGAACTACAGGTAAGACTAAATAACCACACAAAAATGACTTTGGCTTCCTGATTCTAATGAGTTCCTTTGTACAGGTCTCCCAAACACATGGTAGTCTAGGACAGTTTTTCTGTGACTTCAGTCTTGTTCTTTCTGCTACAATACTGTCACTGTCTGAAGGCAACATATGTGTTAAGTAGATTAGAAAATAATGAAAAGGAGGTGTCACGGTAGCTGTGGGTCCTAGAACATGCACAATAAGATTCTAGATCAGGTCTGTAGATATGTATTGTGCATAGAATAAGGCTGTGACAGCTCAAGGTAGAAGAGTCCTGAGATTTCTGTGAAGTCTTGAGAATCACTGGCTCTATTTGATTGCATATAAATGCTCCCCATACAATATGCTTATAGGTTTGATATTAAAAAACTCCACTGAGTCCTTTCCTAGGTCTTACACCAAACGTTAATTCTAATCATCTATAAATTACAGAAATAAAATGGAAAGCGAAGCTTACCTTAGCTGTAAGAACTTCCTTTTGGAAGAACTGACGGAAGACCTATTACTTGAGATGTTTTATATCAGAACAAAGCATAAACAAATACCTCTCAAAAACTCTGATTTTTATTTGTTACTCTTCTCCATTTTGGCAGGAGCAGTCTATGTGTCCATTTCAGCGGTGTAATTTTCAGTTGTGGTTCACTGTTACGCTTGATTTGCAGTGTATGCATTGCTATCTCAATTTTGAGATTTCTGTTCCCTATGTTAATTTTCTCAGCAAGAGTTACAGATGCCGGGTAAGTGACAGCACATTCCCGCTGTCATTGCTGGCTTTCCAGGCATGCCTGGATTGCTCGTGTTCCCCATGCCTCACAGGATCAGAGGTTGCAGAGTTCCAGTGGGCTGGAGAGCTCCAGTAGGATGTTTCTCTCAAGCACTATGCCAGGATTTTATTTTACTTTTTAAGTCTTGGCCAAGTGATAAGTGTCTTTTAACGTTCCATTCTCCTCTTCAGGTTCCTAGACTGCTAGGAAAGAGAGTAGCTTTCACTGTGTGTTAACCATTTCCACAGGCAAGTATACAGCATGGTTACTTGATATTTATTATGATTGTGTGAGGCGAGTTTGACTTTT